AAACCTAGAATGGACACTAATGCTTGAGAGGACTCAGTTGTCAGATGGAACGATCACTGGACTGACTGAAGCCTGCTTAAAATGCCTGCAACCTTTTCCCACTCAACATGCCATGAGTTCTAGGCTCCATGGCTTGAGTTTCAGCTCCTTATCCCTTCCCTTATCACCCCCTTTGTTTTGTTTACCATCAGGCCGGATGAAAAATTCTGAAGTGAGGGAAAGTGGGAGAAAGTGAGGAAAAATTGAGAGAATCATCTTACTTCATTCTCTACCATTGAGGTCCATCTTTTGGGATGGTCGGTCAGCCAATGTCCTTTCCCTGTCTTTTCCCCATTTTTGCTGTTTGGAGTCGAATGGCACCTGACTCCTGAAAATGCATTCTGGGCTCCATTTTCATGCTTTGTGGAAATGGTGTCCCACGGAGTATCATTGGAATTGCGCTTATGTCATGTGATTATATGTTAGGGCTATTGGATATGAAATGCATATGACGGCCTCCATGGGACTTCATTTTTGAAGTGCATAGAAACTGAGCCCAAACTGCATGCAATAAGGTCCTTAGACAGCATTTGGTGGAAATATAAATGCATCTGTAGAACAGAAAAAAATAAATACAAAAATAAGAAAAAGTACAAAAATAAGTAGAAACCATTTTTTAAAAAAGCATTTTAATTTATTAATATGTTTGTACATAAGCATGTATAAAACGTCATTGTTTAAGAGTTTGCTTGTAAGATTTCCAATTACCTTTACCTATGTTGTGTCATATTTATTTTGCTTAAATGCACCAATCATACCACAGCATGAGCCAATACTGTGAATGAAATGCAAAATCACTTCGAGAATTGAACAGCAAGCACAAGTTTTGGAAACATAATTCTACCAATTAGTTGCATAATCCCTTCATTTAACAAATCTTTACAGCATGTAGATAATAATCTAATGTACAGGCAAGAGGCATGTAGATGACAATGGTGTCCTTGAAGGGCAATTCTGAAAATCATGCTTATATCATACCACTAGATGACCAGATTTTTGAGGTTCACCACTTCTTGAAAACTGATACAGTCCCTTAGATATTTGTTTCTCTTTATTACTGATTTCAATGGAACAGTATTTCTTTAAGGTAGAAAAGTATTGATCTTTTGTTTCGCTCAGCTGAGATAGTCTTTCATCTAAGATGGTTAAAACATATATCTGAACATGGTCCAATGCTTCTCTCGACTATCACTGAGGAGCAAAGCAAGACTTCTGAGAAGGCAGAGCTGTGTCTAGTCCTGGTGGAGGAAATAGAGGTCTGGTTTTTTTGCAACTACATCCTGATATCGCTTCTAGAAGCAATAGTAATTGTATGGATTATACAAGCACCTATGAGATATAATCAGTACAACTTTTGAAGAAGAAATCAATATTGCAAAACAAGAGGGACTGAAAGACTCGCATTATGAATCACTGGGAGTTCATACACTCTTGTAGGTGGTGAAATTATTTGAAGATGCATTGCATGTGATATGATGCAGAATGCAGCTGTAATCTTTCCAAATTGCTGTTACTATTCACTGTAGGTCTTTTTTAAAAAAGAAAGCAATATGTTTTACAACTAAGCAAAGAGTGGGGGGTATTGCTGATATTCTCCCTTTCACCTAAGTTTTCTTTATGTTGTCTCATTTCTTAGGATTGTAAAAGTTTGTAATTGTACGAGTGTGTTTCATTTATTTATTCCATTGTTTTTAGTAGATATGTTCTGGCTGTGAATAAGTTTGGATCCAACACAATAATGATAGGTGCTCCCTAAAAGAGTTTTTGGAACAGTTCACAACAATGTAATGGCCAGCATATAGCATAAGAACTAGGGCTGGGTAACCACGGAAAAATTTGTTTCTAAACTCGATTCGTTTTTAGGGGTTTTTTGTGTTTCGTTTTTTAAAAGAATTCCGAAATTTTTCTTTAAAAAAGTTCGAAATATACGAAATTTCGTAAATTATACGAAACAATTACGAATCGATTCGTTAATGGCGGACGCGATTGCGCAATACGCTAAAAAAACCTCCAAATGGGACAGGGGGAACTTCTGAAGCTTCCCTCTCCCTCTGTTGTTGACTGTTGGTGTGATAATTTATTTTTTTATCACTGATAAAACAAACAACAACTATAAAACTTGCACCAGACATACGGAAATAATAACAAAACAGTTTCGAAACGATTTCGAAACGATTTCGAAACGATTTCGAAACGATTACAAAACAATTACGAAATAAATTGAAAAATTTGTTTCGATTTTTAGTTGCTCCTGCATGGCTCAATATCGGATCGTAAGCTAATTTAAATACGAATCAATAAAGAATTACGAAATTAACGAACGAAACCGCCCAGCCCTAATAAGAACTCTTGTAATTTCTTAAACCTAGGCCAAGGATGGACCACAATTCTGAGAGTTGGTATGTTGGCTGATAGATCCTTTAACTCCAAGAACCTCATCACATTTGGAAAATTCCCTGTTATAGAACACTTTGTTGACACAGCCAGCACAGCATCCGCCAGATCTCATTACATGATGAACAGTTCCTTCCAGCAGGGCTTTGTGATGGCTGAGTTGGCTAAATGTTCCACAACAGGGGACTACCTGTGTTCAGATTAGAAATCATGGGGACAGCATGGAAGTACACTGGAAAATCCTGCAAATCTCTTGGGAAGACAGGCGGACAAACATCAGCGTGCTGGAAGAAGCAAAGACCACCAGCATTGAAGCGAAATGTCCTCCACCATCAACTCCGCTGGACTGGCCACGTTGTCCAGATGCCCGACCACCATCTCCCAAAGCAGTTGCTCTACTCCGAACTCAAGAACAGAAAACGGAATGTTGGTGGACAGGAAAAGAGATTTAAAGATGGGCTCAAAGCCAACCTTAAAAACTCTGGCATAGACACTGAGAACTGGGAAGCCCTGGCCCTTGAGTGTTCCAGTTGGAGGTCAGCTGTGACCAGCAGTGCTGCAGAATTTGAAGAGGCACGAATGGAGGGTGAAAGAGAGAAGCGTGCCAAGAGGAAGGCGCATCAAGCCAACCCCGACGGAGACCGCCTCCCACCTGGAAACCAATGCCCTCACTGCAGAAGAAGATGCAGAGCAAGAATAGGGCTCCACAGCCACATACGGACCCACAAGAATACTGGAAGACAATCCTCCTCGGAAAACGAGGGATCGCCTAAGAGAGTAAGACACCGGAAAGGTACACTTTCCAACATGTGATGGGCAACCGGCTGATGCCGGTAGTGTGGGGCACTGGCTACAAATCCCCCCTACAATATTTGCCCCACTGCCCTATGGATCCCCCCATTGTCCCCTGCATTAAGGACCTCCATGTTATGAGGTCCTCAGACTGAGAAAAATATTTTTCAGCATCTGAGATCAAGAACAAATGTGAGTTCCACAGAGGAGCTCTAACCTCGATCTCAACCTACTTCTACTATTTATTTTTTCTGATGACTGATGCGGATAG